CTACCTTTTGCGGTAACTAATAACGTTACTAGTTACCTATTCCCATTCAGTAACGCCGTTATAGTTAATGTGATTTAAATGGGTGCGTTACTGCCAGGGCTCGACATTAAGGGCTGCCCAATGGCCCGGGCCATCTAGTATTTAGCTCGGGCAATGAAGCCTCACCTGCTGGTGCCCGATCGGGCAATCTATTATGCCAGCAGCTCGCGGATCCAGTAATGAGTGACCCGACAGTAAAACTAAACATATCTATAACTAGTTTAGGTAGTTTGAGAGGTAATTAAAATAGCTACGTGTGATATTCTAACCTGAAGTGTGTGTTTTGTCCGCTCACCGCTGCATGTGATCATGCAGTGCTGTGTGTCGACTCGTCAGCAGCAGCTGATTTCTCTCTCCCGTCAGATTAGACTTCACTCGTGTTTATGTCCATATTGATCAGATCCAGCTAGTTCTAGCTAATGATAGGACTACCTGCTTATTAAAAGACACCTAAACAATAAGTGTCGCTATGCAACTGGGTGAGGCCACAAAGTATAGCGCAGCATTATGCATTTGTTTACATGCCCACCGGAACCCCGAGGCATTACCAACAGATCAACGCACAATCAACCCATACAGGACATCTCTTTCCCAACATTAAGTGTTAGACATTAGAATGGACTATTCTTGTCTGTCACATACTCTTCTTGTCTGTCACATAAGTGGCGCAACTGAAGCGGTATTGTGCTAAAGGGAAATTATTGTGACCGAAGAGATTTAGATTTGCCGGCCAACGGGAACTCTGACGTCGCTATTTTGTATGCTTCGCGGATGCGCTCGGCTCCTCTCGACTGCTGCTCGGGTCTGCTCGGTCAGCTTCCGGATGAGGAGGCATTCGTTCGACCAACTTACAGGAGATAACATCACAAACATTTTTGACAGGGGCCATAATAGTGTAAATAATGTTTGTTTAGGCAGTTACAACTGAATGTAATGTTTTCTGCTTTTTTCCATCTGATGAAGGCATTTGCCTTCATCAGATGGAAAGTGTCTTGACCAACAACTTAAGTATTTCTTATAGCTATGCAGGGCATGCAAGCGAGCAAACACAAACAAGAACAAACAAACAAGTGAAATGAAGAATACAATTGAAATTGTACAATATAATATTGTGCTGGTTCATCTTATAATTCAGTCTAGAGAATGCACCAGACAGCATCTACAGTAAGACCTGCAAAAATCTAAATGTTCTAGGGGGAGGCCCCCCAAACCCTTCGTGGCATTTCGTCCGCACGCATTTTTCAGGGCAATCTCTATTGGGCTCAGGGCCATCTGTAAATTAGCTTAGATGGCCCACAGGGCCATCTCCCAAAATCCTTAATGTCATGCACTGTATTTATATACATGGTTAATAAATATTAGCTTTGCTCTCTTTCTATCCTTTTATTTTAACACCATACAGGAAAAATAACAGAAATTAAATGTCATATTGTGACAAATATTTTTTATTAATTTCAGGGTACAAAAGCCTCAAAAACAAAATGTAGACATCATGAGACACACTGTACAATAAAAACTCTCCACTCAGCAATGTAGCATGCATGCAAGATAAAAACTCTTTACAAGTCATACTGTATGTTGGTAATTCACAGACAACTGCTGAATATATATTAATTTAAACAAATTACAGTTGTTTACAATGGTAAATAACAGTTTTACATAAAAACCAAGAGAAAGACAGGGCAGTAAACCAAAAAATGTGGTAATGCATAATGTGTTCAGGCTGCATTGGGAAATTAAAACTCTCATGGAAGAAAACACACCTTTGATATATTACTGATAAATCTGTTTTAGCTATATTTTAAAAATCGTTAAAAATCGGATGTTTTCTTTCTTTTTTCCCTTTTTCATATTATCTTTGTTCTCTTTTAGATTTCTCACTCGCTAAAAAAATACATTTCATTAGTTTTATTAAAACACATTCATCAAAGACAGTGTACGATTAATCGTTTATGTACATATAACCATTATTAAATAATACACAATGTAGATTCCATTGTTCTGCCTGGTGGTGTCAAATCACGTGAAATGCTTCAAAACAAAACAAAACCAACTAAGCTATTTAGGCATGTCAGTAAATCTGTCCAGTACAGTGTTGAAATATAAAATATCTTAACAACTATTAGCGGTCAGTCATGTTATAAAATGTCACTCATGTAACTTGTACTGAAATGTGGGTTGAGGAATAGTTGGATATTTTTAATCTACCTATTTATTAAGTAATAAGAGGCCACTTGGTACTGCAACTTCTGCACACATTTTTTTCTTACTTCTTCTTCTTATATCTGGGGTACATTTCTCCCAATGGAGGGCAACACCATCCGACTGACTTCAATGAAAAGCAATCTTTAAACCATTAGTATCTCCTGCACTACCAACAGAGTAAACCGACCCCTCCTGACTACCTGCAGCCACACTCTGCCACCTTCATCTCTTCGTACAGATATCTTATAGTGAGGCGTCCGTTCTCTTGATACATGACCGTGATGGGGTCCAGTTTGATGGGGACGCAGCACGCCATGTTGACTTTCTTCGGGTTCCTTATGTTCATCAGCGCCTGGATGAGGGCGTGTTTCGATGGCTTCATTTCACCCGTCAGCGGTTGGTAACACAGGCCCCGACATTCGAAGGCGTCGTATTCTGGAGGTGCCACGATCCAACTGTCCCATCCGATGTCTCTAAAGTTGACCTTGAGAGAGGTCCGCTGGCAGTGTTCCCTCTCTGCCTTTCTTTTCCTTCTCCGTGGGTGCTGAGCCTCCGGGATTTCGTTGGGAAGCTCATCTCCATTGTACCAATCGGCGCCCGAGTGCAAGATGGATTCTTCTTCGTGGAGAATCATCTCTTTTAATTCCTTCTTTGTTTCCCTTCTCCTGCTACCAAGATCATCTGAGAAGACGATCAAAGCTGCTGAAGTGTTATCTCCAACAGACAAGCTCATATTCAGACATCCTGCTCCTTCTTCTCCATCGTTAGAGGCCCCACAGTCCTTCCTATCCACCACTACATCAAAAACAATTGCATGGTGGCCAAATTTGATCCATCTCTGAATAGCTGTGGTCACATCAAACGTCTCCCACGTGCTCTCCGAACCCGTCACCTCTTTGCCCGCCAGCAGTTGGGTGGTGGAGGTGAAATCGTTGTAATCCACTTCATAGACTTTGACGGTGGCTTTGGAATTTGGGGAGTTGACCTTTGACCTGGAGTCCGGGTAGAAGAACAGCTGCAGTTCAGCAGAAGTGATATTTTCATGGTTGGGGATGCTGACGTTAAAGTGCAAGCTGTGCTTTGACATTGTGCTGTTCGTCACAGAGAAAGGGATATCTGTTTGAGAAAAAACAAAGAAGTCAGAATGGTTTGTTAATTTTCCATTACACAACTTTTGTATACACGTGTACATAATAGACAACTTCAATTTGTTGAGTAATATTAGAATTCAGTCACAAACTAAATCCGGCAATATCTTCTAACAAAAAAGTTGAAAGAATTCAAATGTCAGTACATCTGTAATAAAGTGAATTACTATTTAAAATATTTTCATTTGGTAATTTTTAAGAAACATACGAACAGTTCAGTCTTTGGCAGCAGCACATGGGTTATCATGGGACTATAAATAACTGTGTTGCAACTAAATAATGGGAATTGCCTGGGTAACTTAACCTAGGGCAATGGTTCCATATTTAGCAATTGGGGCCCAAACAAGGGATAACCTAAAGAGGCAAAATTCTGCAAATCAAAAATGTTTTGAACACAGAGATTACACCTTCACTTTTAAAGGGGTCACAGGCCCAAAGGTTGAGCACCATTGGATTAAAGCTTTTTATTTAAAGGTAATCCCCCCCAAAACCAACTGAACTAATTTAACTTGCCAAGAAAATGCTTATACAGATTTCCAGCCTGTTTCTCTGTAGCTGTAATGAGAGAAAGAAACCTTTAGAATGTCAAATATGGATAACAACCAAAATTAAACGTTTGGCAAGTAGGACATTTAAAAATATTCCATCAACTCTGGCACTATGGATTAAATGGGTAGAAAACCACAATGAGAGTTATTTATTTTGAAGGTAGCGTCTCCCTCCTAAAATGTAAGGATTATTGCACATCATACTTCTTTCATGTCCAGATGTATTGGCATACCTTGCACAGTGAAGCTTCGTATGACATCAGACTGAGGGTTTGCCGAGCTGTCCGAGGCGTACTTGTTGTAGAGCTCCATCATGAACTGAGGAGGGTAGATCTTGCTGTTCTCCTGAGGAACGTCCGACAGGTTGAGTTTCCTCAGAAATCCCTCCTTCATGGTTCCCAGGAGCTTCTCCATCCTGGACTCTTCCTCCTCCAGAAGGTCCTCCTCTGACATCTGAGCGTAGAGTCCCTCAGCTTCCTCACTCTGGATGTCGTTATTGAGAGGTTTACAGATGCAAGAGCTGATATAAACCACCACACACACCTGGAACAGGAATGATCTGGACCTCTGCATTTTGAAATGAGATCCTCTGTAAGACACTCCACTGGCAGAAACTTTACCTTCTTCCCAGCCTGAAAAGAGACTTCGCGACGGCAAGGTTTGAAAATGGAGATCCCCAATGCAAGGACCACAGTCCTGACGTCGGCTCCCATGCTCCCAGAGTAAACACGGGGACTCGTGTCAACCAAAATAGTAGCTTAGCCAGGCTTATCACCACCAGCGATGCCTTCTTTAAAGCATTGTTATCATTAGAGGGCCGGCTGCTAATGAAGACACTGTAAACACTCAACAGCGATAATGAGGGAGGCACTGGAAACTGTGAGGTTACTGAAAAGCAGACGCTTCCACCAAATGCCTTTTCCCAGCTTGAGGGTGAAAGTGTTGAGGCCAACAGAAACAAAACATTCTTTACAGCCATCATTGTAAAATATGTCTTAAGAGTTCGTGTTGTATCATACTCCTGTACATAAGAGGTGATGATACCATAATGAGATCAGAAGTGACGATCACAGAAAAATAGTAACTGAATTATCATACAAATATTAAAGGGCCCATGTCATGCTTCTCTGGTTATCACCCGTCCCCTTGTGTGTTATGAAGGTTTTTCTGCATGTAAACGGTCTGCAGAGTCACAAACCCTCAAAGTACACCCTGTAGCGAGTAAAACTCTTAACACAGAGAATACCTGT